TTTGATAGTGGAAGACAAGTAGGAAACAAAGAAGACAAAAAGTATTGTATTATGAAGGCTTTGTACAAGGGACTTAGTTTTTTTCTTCTGATAGGTGTGTATCCTTCAAGTGGAGAGGGGTTGGCTATTTATAGCCCTCTTCCACCGCCACTAAGGAAAAATCTATAGCATGTTACATAGATATTTTTCTAGAATTTTCTACACATGTCTCATTAACCTTCTAGAAATATCAAAGATTTTTTCTAGAAACTTTTCTAGAAATATCTTAGATATTTCTCACAACTTTCTAGATTATTCATTTAAATATCTATTCTCCAAAAATCTTGAGCATACTAGAAACTTCTAGAAATTGGATCACTATTTCAACACTCCTCCTTGATCCAATTTCGAGAAACTCCAAGCATGCTTCTTAACATCTCGAACTTGACCAGCGGTAGTGCTTTAGTGAATATGTCCGCGACTTGATCTTCGGTCTTGCAATATTTGAGCTCGATCTCTCCATTATATTGCACTTCACGGATGAAGTGATATTTGATGTCTATGTGTTTGGTTCTTCCATGGAAGACAGGATTTTTTGATATGGCGATCGCAGACTTGTTGTCGCAAAATATTGGAGTTGATTCCGTTTGTGCTTCTCCAATGTCTTCTAGAATTCTTCGAAGCCATATTGCTTGACTAGTAGTCGTAGCAGCCGCGATATATTCAGCTTCTGCAGTAGATTGTGCCACTGAGTCTTGTTTTTTAGATGCCCAAGAGAATATTCCAGAGCCCAGTGTGAATGCATAGCCAGTGGTGCTCCTCCTATCGTCAGTTGATCCTGCCCAGTCACTGTCTGTGTAGCCAACGAGCTTAGCAGTTGAACTTGGCCGATACCAAATGCCATAATCTGTCGTTCCTCGTATGTATCTTAAAATTCTCTTGGCAGCTCCAAAGTGAATTTGACTCGGACTCTGCATGAATCGTGATAGTAGACTTGTTGCGTATATGATGTCCGGTCGTGTAGCAGTGAGATATAATAGACTACCAATCAGACTTCTGTAGAGGGTGGCGTCGGCTTTTTCTGCTCCATCTTCCTTTAATAGTTTCTCGTTTGTCACAAGTGGTGTTGCAACTGTTTTGCAATTATTCATCTTGAATTTCTTAAGGAGGTTCTCGGCATATTTCTTCTGTGAGATAAAAACTCCTTCATTTTGGTTGATCTCGATACCGAGGAAGTAGCGCATCAAGCCCAAGTCCGTCATCTTGAATGTCTTCATCATTTCTTCTTTGAATTCTTGAATCATCTTTTCATTGTTCCCTGTATATATAAGATCATCCACATACAAAGAGACAATGAGAGTGTCGGACTTACCTTGGGTCTTGATGTAGAGCGTTGGCTCACTCATGCTCCTCCTGAATCCTTGCTTGGTAAAGTATTCGTCTATTCTGCTATACCATGCTCGTGGTGCTTGTTTTAACCCATAGAGGGCCTTCTTGAGCTTGAGGACTTTTTCTTCTTGGCCTTTGATGGTAAAGCCTTGTGGTTGTTCCACATATATTTCTTCTTGAAGATATCCATTAAGGAATGCAGACTTTACATCTAGTTGATAGATCTTCCATTCCTTTTGTGCTGCTAAGGCTATGAGTGCCCGAATAGTATCAAAGCGTGCAACAGGAGCGAAAGTTTCAGTATAGTCAATACCTGGTTGTTGCAAGTATCCTTTCGCCACGAGCCTTGCCTTATGCTTTTGAATTGATCCATCTACATTGAGCTTTGTCTTGTAAACCCACTTGACACCAATGATTTCTTTGTCGTCGGGGCGATCGACGAGCTCCCACGTTTCATTCTTCTCTATCATCTTGATTTCTTCCTCCATGGCCTTAATCCAAACTTCTTCTTTGGTAGCCTCTTCATAGTTCTCTGGTTCTAAAGCTGCAAAGTTGCATGTTTCATAAACTTTTCTAAGAGATTTTACCCTTAAAATAGGAGATTCTGAAGTAGATTCTTCTTGTGTTGCGCCAGGAGAGGATGGTGGTGTTACGTCTTGAGTGGTTGAATCTGGCACTTCACCTTCATCTTGTGATGTTGAATCCTCTCGAGCAGGTTGTTTGTCTGGCAAGTTGACATACTTCTTCTCAATCTTTTCGTCCTCCCAATTCCAGGCGCCATTCTCGTCAAATTCGATGTCTCGACTGATCATGAGCTTCTTAGTTCTTAGGTTGTAGACCCGATAGCCTTTTGATTGGTCGCTGTAGCCGAGGAAGATTCCTTTTTCTGTCTTCTCATCTAGCTTGCTCCTCTTTTGAGCAGGAATGTGGACGTAACATATGCAGCCAAACACCTTGAGATGCTTCGCTGAAGGCTTCCGTCCACTCCATGCTTCAACCGGAGTTTTATTTTGGACTGCTTTAGTTGGACATCTGTTTAAGATGTATACCGCCGTATAGACTGCTTCTGCCCAAAACGTGTTGGGAAGGCCTTTCTCCTTTAGCATAGACCTTGCCATCTCCATGACGGTTCTATTCTTCCTTTCTGCTACTCCATTTTGCTCCGGGGCGTAGCCAACAGTTAGTTGATGATGAACTCCTTCATCTTCACAGAATTTATTGAACTCCCTTGAGTTGTATTCCGTGCCTCTGTCGCTCCTTAGAACTTTGATTCTGCGGCCACTTTGATTTTCGACGTGGTTCTTGAATTTTCTGAAAATAGAGAAGACCTCCGATCTTTCTCGAAGAAAGTAGACCCACGTCATTCTTGTGTAGTCATCGATGAATAGGATGAAATATTTATTTTGACTGGGTGTGAGGGTCCTCATTGGACCACACACATCCGTATGCACTAGCTCCAATGGCTTCTTAGCTCTCCACGCACCTCCAGATGGGAAGGATTGTCTTTGTTGTTTTCCAAGCAGACAGCCTTCACAAACATCTGAAATTTCTGAAATAGCTGGAAAATCTCTCATCATTTTTTTTTGATGGAGAACTTTTAGCCCAGCAAAGTTGAAGTGGCCAAATCTTCGATGCCAAAGCCATGAATCATCAAGTTGAGCTTTCATGGCTACATCTCTGATATATTTCCATTGAATAGGAAAATTCCTATTCTCCATCTTAACAGAGGCAATGATATTTTTATATTTATCATAGATAATGCAGGCATCTTCTCTAAAGTATAGAGAATACCCACTTTGAATCATTTGGCCCACGCTCAATAAATTTTGAGCAAGACTGGGGACAAGATATACATTGTGAATATATTTTGGGCCTTTATTTGTTTCAATGGCTATAGTGCCTTTTCCTTTTACTTCGACCAATGTGCCATTGCCCAATTTCACTTGGGATTTCACCGACGTATCAATATCGGTAAATATAGATTCATCCCCCGTCATATGATTGCTACACCCACTATCAATGTACCACGTATCATTTTTCTTATCATTTGCCGCTTGGCCTGCGTAGAATGTGTTGTCTTCAGTTTCTTTTTCTTCAACGTAGTTGGCTCGATTATTTGTTTTCGAGCGACAATTCTTTTCTACGTGGCCATATCTTTTACAAAAGCGGCATTGTGGTTTATTTTTAAACCAGCAATCTTTCTCTAGATGATTAGTGTTCTTGCAAATTCCACAATGTGGGTATTTTTCCTTTTGGATAGTTTCTCCTCCTTTTTTACTTTTCCATAAGCTCCTTCCACCATTTTTAGATTGATGAGACCGTATGTTTATTTTGGACTGAAAGGCACTTTCAACTGAATCTTCATCTTGTGCCATCAATCTTTTCTCATGTGCTTCTAGAGAGCCAATTAATTCACTTACTGACAGGGTCGTTAAATCTTTAGTTGCTTCTATAGTTGTCACAATAAGATTATACTTTCTAGTAAGTGACACTAGTATTTTTTCTACGACCCTTTGATCAGCGATTTCATCTCCATAGGCTCTCATTTGATTAACTAGTTCTTTTAATTTCCCACAGTATTCTTGAACGGTCTCATTTACTTTCATTTTAGAATTCTCAAATTCTCTTCTTAGAGTTTGAAGCCGAATAGTGCGTACCTTTTCTGATCCTTGGAATTCATCTCGTAGTGTTTCCCATGCCTTCTTTGCTGTCTTCGCTCCAATTATCCTCGGAAATACTGTTTCCGAGAGTGCTTGCTGAATAACACATAGTGCCCTTGCATCCTTTTGTAGTTGATCTTTTGGAACACTTGCACCTTCTTGTGGAGCCTCATAACCCTTTTCTACGATGTCCCATAAATCTTGGGCCATCAAGAAAGTCGTCATTTTAATGCTCCAATAGTCGTAATTATTCCCATCGAAAATAGGAATGGGAAATGAGGATGATGTAGAGTTGGCCATAGTTTAGTTGTTGGATAGTTGAATGGGTAGTTTTAGGAACGGGTGGTTCGGACAAACGCCCAATACCAACCAAAAACGTGGCTCTGATACCACTGTTAGTATTTGCGGAAGCGTGATTTGTTTTGTAAGTGAGTGAGTGATTTAGTGAGTACAAGTGTTGGTACGTGGACTTGAAGCAACAGTAGAACAAAACTTTTGATAGTGGAAGACAAGTAGGAAACAAAGAAGACAAAAAGTATTGTATTATGAAGGCTTTGTACAAGGGACTTAGTTTTTTTCTTCTGATAGGTGTGTATTCTTCAAGTGGAGAGGGGTTGGCTATTTATAGCCCTCTTCCACCGCCACTAAGGAAAAATCTATAGCATGTTACATAGATATTTTTCTAGAATTTTCTACACATGTCTCATTAACCTTCTAGAAATATCAAAGATTTTTTCTAGAAACTTTTCTAGAAATATCTTAGATATTTCTCACAACTTTCTAGATTATTCATTTAAATATCTATTCTCCAAAAATCTTGAGCATACTAGAAACTTCTAGAAATTGGATCACTATTTCAACATCCCTCCTCCTTAACCACCTCCATTTCCGCGGCTATTGATGTGACTCGCTCAATCACATTGTAATTCACACTCTAGACCAAATCCTAATGTCATGGTCATCATTTTGTGTTTATTGCTTGCTGAATATTATTAATCCGTTTGGGCACAAGGTCCTGCACCATCCGGAGAATTCCAGGAAGTTGAAGGTGAAAGTGAAGAAAGAAGAAGATCCAGACTGGAACGCAATCAGAGAACGCAAGAAAGAGCGGTAGGTTTTCATTTTGGCAATTTTTTTTCTGCAACTCTGAAGTGTGTGCTTTTTCAGCTGAAGGCATTTCGAATGTTGAGTGTATTATGTTTTTACTCTTTGCATGTTTTATTCAGGCCAAAGCACTTGCTGAGAAAAATCAGCGTGATCTTCAGACTCTAAAGGAACAGGAAGAGAGACATGTAAGAGGCTTGAGTTTCCCACTCTGTGTATAGTTTCACCAAGATGCCGTAGGTTTTCTATCATACTTATTTGATGTTGTGGCTGTGACATGGGAAAGGTGGAGTTATCAATGTAGCCCCTCAAAGTGGAATCAATATGACCCCATTTGATATGTTATGCTACAATTTCTATCCGATGTTTAAGGAAAGTGATAAGTAGAGTAGGAGGTGTAGTTGCTGTAGTGGGGATTATAATGGGTGTTAGAATCGGAAAGCAACACAGGGACTTAAGTGCATAGACTGAACCCCTCCCCCCCCTCCCCCCCTCTCTCTCTCTCTCTCTCTCTCTCTCTCTCTGTGTGACATGATGTTAGTTAGTTATGCCTCATTACTTCCCAAAAAGTTGTCTTCATGGTGCCCATAAATGCTTGGAGTTGCATATCTTTGCTTGTGACTAATTCCTCTTGCTTCTGATTACGCATTTATCTTCTCGGTGAAAAGCTATATCCTCTATGCCTCTATGGCTATTTGCTGACACTCCTGCTATTAAGTTTTCCTTAAGTTAACGTTAACCGCTTATCTGACAAATTCCTTCAGAGGATTGCTGAAACACTGGATATTGAGATAAAGCGCCGGGCTGCTGGAAAAGAGGGGAACTTGCGTGCTCTGCTATCCACTTTGCAATATGTAAGTTTTTTTTTCGCTAAATCTTTGCAATATGTAAGTTAGATGTGTTCCTCCATGTTCTTTTCCCTGTTGTGCATTGCTTGCAAAAATACAGGCTGCATCTTCTGGTACTCATGCTCTGGGACGTCAAGAAGTCCCATGAGGACTTAAATTAGTGTAGCGAACGCATGCTTTTTAGGTAAATGATGCTTTGGACGTGGCCTGAGTACTTTAGGCTTTGTTTTCTTTATTTAATGATACTGGCATTGGATGGGTGCAACAACAAGTGTTATGCAATCTTCTGTTACTCATCCTTTGGGACATCAAGAAGTCCCATGCGGACTTCTATCAGTGTAGCTGTTGTATTAATACGCATGCAATTAGGTAAAATGATGCTTTGGACGTGGCCTGAGTACTTTTAACCTTTATGTTTTCGGATTAACTGATATCCGTATTGGACGGGATGCAACAACAAGAGTAAGACAAATACACAGGGGAGAGAATAGGCACCCATCTGCATTGAAGCTGTTACTATCTCCTGTCTTGGTTTCATTATAGAATAGATTTGTTAAAAGAATGCATGGTTTATTCAGACGCGATCTTTTGGTATACAAGTAATGGAGCATTAAATATTTTTCCTCACCAGAGCCAAAAACTGATGTTCCCCGTTTTCAAAGCTCCAAAAAAAGAGGTGGATTTTATGTGGTTCAATATTGAAATTTGCGGTGGTAAATTTGGCTGAATATGGGATGGCCATTCTTCTTTAGCATTTCACTCATGACGAGTTCTTGAGATCCTTGAAGTCAGTATGTATAACATGGGATTATTGGATAATTATAGCAGGATTTTAATAGATGACACAATAATGCACTTGAGTCCTAAAACTCACTTGTTGGATTTAAATCATCAAACTTGTCACAGTCGTTCATTTTAATCCTTCTGTTAACTCTGTTTGGCTTTAGTGGATGGAAGATCTACGTGGCTTCTTTTTTTTCCTTAAAGGCCACAAAAAGAGGGCCACATGGCGTTTCTAGGACCCAAGTGCATCTAAGTAGTTTTAGGATTTAGATGCACTAAGTGAAAGTTTTAGGACACAAGTGCATTATCATAACAGATTGTAGGACTTACCTTGTCATTGTTACTATAAACACAATAGGGAGATGTCTGAGTGTTCTTCTTGAATGGCAGTTGTGGCACTCTCTCACAGTAATCAAATGCTTTTCATTGGAAAGCAGTACATAGGAAACAGTTTTGCATGAAAAAGATGTAGGTGCAAACTTTGTGTCAAGTGCCTACAATAAACACAGCAAACCCAGAAGATTTAAATCTGCTGGCAGTGATAAGAGGGATCGTGCACTTACAGAAATTCCTCATTGGTCTACTTGATAGAGAAAGTAGCTACTTTCTTGCTTCGTGTGCATGAGTTCAGATGTTTTTTGCTTTAAAAAATTGTACTGGACACATTGAGGTTTAAGGAAGATGCTCCGAAGAAATACTGCTTGTGAGCCATGTTAAACTGATAGCATTGTTGAGCTTTTGCTGACTTGATCTGGATGTACTCCTGCATAGGACTGTTTTGCGTATTTTTAAGCTACCTGCTTGTTTTTAAGCTACCCTGTGTTTATCGGCATATATCACCCAAAGTTATTTATTAGACATTTTGCTCAAATCTCATATCAACTTTTTATGATTGTATCCTCTACCATTTATTTCTCTTTTTCAATTGTTTGAAGAATACCTTTCTGGTGATAAGGCTAAGCAATTTCTGTTAATCATATTCTTATTAGGTGCTCTGGCCTGAATGTGGTTGGGAACCTGTTTCTATGACGGATTTGATTGCTGCTGCTTCAGTTAAAAAAGGTCTATAGGAAGGCAACTTTGTGTATTCATCCTGACAAGGTGCAGCAAAAAGGTGCCAATCTTCAGCAGAAATATATTGCTGAGAAGGTTATTGACCTCCTTAAGGTATTTAAAACCCAAGAGCTTTGAAATTATCATCTTATTTTTTTGGTGGACTGAAAAGCATTAGGACAGTTTCACAAAAATAGCATTGCTAACATCGGAAAAATACAAAATGACTCTAGTCTTACACCCATTCATTGGCATGCCATAAGCCGCAGCCATGATGCAGTAGATTGTGTGTCTTAATCTTGATGTTATGCTTTTCTTTGTATTCTATGGTTGGAGAGTAGGGTTAGTCCCATATTATCAGGTTTGAATGGAGGGTAGGTCCTCCATTTGCATCTGATTCTATTATGCATGTGGAAATCAGTTAATTTTTTTTTTTTGTAATGTACGTCATTGGATTTGGCAACTTTTGCTTTGCCATTTTTTTAGGAAATACCAGCTACACAAACTGATCTGCTTGTTTTCTCATTAGTTATGAAAATTTTGTCGACGGAAAACATTAAGACATTTGGAAAAGAGCTCATATAAAGAAAATGCTCATTTGCATGATTGAGAAGTTATTACAAGGTTACATTTTGGATGCTTTATTTAATGTTCTAAATCATTTTAAAGATCATTAAAAGAAGATCCATCCTCTTCAAAGACTCCATTTTTTTTTTTCCTTTCCTTTTGGGTACTTACCAAATGAGGAATAACAGTGGGAATTTTCTCCAAAAAATAAAAAATTGGTAGGAAGTTTCTTCATCTTTTGGCATGTGAATACCCTGCCAGGTCTGCAATTCTGGTTCCCTGATCTTGCAGTGGTGCCTCTTTATCATTCTTTGCGCTTCTGGAAGTCCCTTATTCTTTGTTGGTTTTCCGTAAACATAATACATCATTAACAATTCTTTTGGAGGAGGGTAAATGACCCTTCTGAAGATTCTCCCTCAGCGCTCTCTACTTTTGGTAATGTTTGCTCCATGTGATTATGTGGGAAAGAAGTTTTTTTTTTTGGGTCAAAGCGGGGAAAGAGGTTTTTACTACTTTTATGGGTGCCATTTGGTTCTTGTTTCGTGGTTTTAGTAATACGACATTCCAATGTCAGCGTTGATTATGAATTGTCCTTGTTATTACAGGAAGCTTGGAACAAATTTAATTCAGAGGAGCTCTTTTGAATTTTTGAGACAACCTTTCAGCTTCAAGCTATTTTAAGCAAGCGTACCATTTCTTTCCTTGGCGGATACTCCTGGAGGACAATGAATGTCTGAGGAATATAATCTTGCCAATATTGCACCCATTTTGAAATACAGTATATTTAAGGAAATTTATCCTCAGAAGCTGCCGAAACCGTTCTCCTCATAGCCAATGATTTACTCAGGGTTACCAAACAAGTACATTCACTCAGGGACTATAAGGATCTTGGTGATCCTTATGTTGTAGGTTACGGAATGGAAGATCCTGTGGTCGCGCCTGCAATGAATTCCCTCCGCATTGTCTGAGTGAGGAGGCTCAAACGCATTGCCTTTTGGAATCCCCCACCCAGCAAATATAATAGCATTGCGTATACATCTCATGGAATTGGAACATTAACATCCATACCAGATTGCTGGTATACTTGTGAGAGATTTTTAGCATGGGTAAATTGTCGATATTCCCCTTTGAGGTTTTTAGCTAGCGAACCCCCTCCACTTTGAAAACAGTGAAAGCAGTCCCCATGCTTTTGATATTGGTGATAAAAGTCCCTCTGTACCCTTTCCCTTATGCGGTAGCATGTGAGATTGCTACTTCACCAGATACCTAAGTCCAATAGAACTGTTGTCAAAAGTAGGATGGAGGTTTCACCAATATCCAAAGCTTGTGGACTAACTATACTAATTTTAGACTGTCACGCCCCGAACCCCTACGAGCTCGCGACATCTCCTGCTCCGGTCGAAATAATGCGACGTCCCAGGAACGTCGCCGACCCAATCCAAACATCAGAGCCACATGCGGAAGCGGATATAAAAACCCCGGATAAAAAGATGACGACAACGGGGTAGAACACCACAACAATCAAACAACAACATCTTCATACAGCACCAAACATACAAACATCATATTACAGACATAAATACAGACGAACATACTCCGCCACCGTTTTAGCAAAAAATCAAGGTCTGGTTAACTTAACTTCCCTATGGGTCAACCCGATTTACACAACCCCTAAAATATCCTAGTGAAAGCCTACTGGTCGCCCTTCCGCTCTGCTTCTGATTCTTCGGGTTTGAGCGTCCGGACACTCACCTGCAATTCCACCAGGCACCAAAGGCGGTTCCTCGAACTTCCAAAAAGAGGAGGCAAACTTCCCGGGTCTAAGGCTGGGGGTCTGAAAGTGGCGGTTATACAACCGTGAGACGAATCTCAATAACTGTACAACCCCAAACCCCACGTAGGCACTCACGTACCGCCAGACGAAAACACACATAACACACAATGATCAGCCAAACTAACAATCACATGCGACCCTACCTGGAATTTCTCACGCACGTCCCTGCACGTTAGTCAACCACACAGCCAGTATGCCACAGAAATACATCACCGCCGCGCGCGTGCCCCGATTATAGAGCAAAACCCACTTGGGCACGTCCCATACCATGCCTAGCAGTTTTTACCCCATAATCGAGCATCACACCACGCGATACAAACACACTCGCACACCAACTCACACCACACGCCACTTTCTTAATTTCACTCGTCCCGCCAATTCTTGCTCATTCTCAGCCTTTCCACCACTACCGCGCCCGCGTAAAACGCATCAAGCCAACGTTCTTCTGACCTCGTCAGGCATCGTCACCCCGTCGGGCCGAGCATCGTCACCTCGTCAGGGACGGCATCGTCCCGCGTAAACGTACACGCCTCAGGACGGAATCCTACACACACTTTCCTTCTACCGCGCCCGCGTAAAATGCATCAGGCCAACGGTCTTCTGACCACGTCAGGCATCGACACCTCGTCAGGCCGGGCATCGTCACCTCGTCAGGGACGGCATCGTCCCGCGTAAACGTACACGCCTCAGGACGGACCTTTTTCCAATCAATCCTACACATCCGAACCTTCGTTCCACACTCTCTACACGTACCACGCCACCACACAAACACACTGCCAAACATACACACTTCACACACATTTCACATTTACACAACCTCGTCACGTGAACACTACACAAACACCCAAGCTTGGCACGCGAACTCAATGCGCAATCACGCCACCACACCTCACAGCCACACAATCACACATACGAGCTCATTCAAGCATCAAACTACCAGTCAAAATGCCATGACAACACCGAATAATTCTCGAGAGAGAGAAAAACCGAGAATATATAAAATCGGGTCAAAACTGGGCAGTTTACACAGTGACCGAAATCCCAATAAAATAAATAGTAAACGAACTCCAAAAATTCTAAATTTTGGATATGTAATAAAAAACATCTTGATCAACATTTCTTATGAAGAACACGAAATCCAGTTCAATCTGTAACCATGCCTTTTTGTCCCTCGAAGTCAGACCAAAATCAGTTCGCTCAAACAGACCGTTTTGTCCTCAAAATACATTTATTTCAACATCCAGATCACCTTGAAAAGCTTTGAAATTTTTATATGTTATAGCCACAAATGTTCCCAACAACTTTTGTGAAGGAAGTATTTTGAAAATAGGCCTGGAAAAATTTATAAAAATTCGAACAGACCCGAAGGTCGGGTGAACAGTAAATCGGGCAGTTTTATTTCGTTCCAAAGATGGACTTCCGAATGGCATCAAATGATTTCCAAAATTTCCCAAATTAAAATATGTTATACTTCAAGATGTTGGGAACAACTTTCATGAAGAAACCTTCCTCAAATTCGGGCCACACAAGTCACAGTAAAAATAACAAAAATCAGCGACGCAACAGCAACCTAACTGGAAATCAGCCAACACACACCACCGAGCAAACCAGCCACTAAACTCACCCTAAACCGAGCCCTAAACAAGCCTAACAATACCCGAGGTCCTAGGCGACATTTGGGGAGGTCACTTACCTAAGAAAGACGAGACGAACGGGCTGAATGGGTGGCTGAAATGGGCAGAACAGCAGCAGCAGCAGCAGCAGCAGGTGGTAATGGGAGGAACAAGGATGAAGAGAATGAGAAAGAGGGAGAGAGAGAGAGAGAGAGAGGGGAGAGGCTGATCGTGAGGGTTCTGGCCAGAATGAGAGGGAGGAGAGAGAGAGAGAGAGAGAGAGAGAGTGAGAGAGAGAAAAAAAAAAGCTGATCGTGGGGGTTCTGGCCAGAATGGGGAGGAAGAGAGAGAGAGGAGGGTCAGCTGGTTAAAAATAGTGGCCTAGCGGCGTCACGTGTCGCGATCCTACTCGATTTGACCAAAATACCCCTAATCTAACGGTTCTAAAGAGATAGGATCAAATAATTGAGGGGTAATATCGTCTTTGGCCCCTAATAATGCAGCTGATAATTATTCATAATTATCCCAAATTATTTCCCAAAATTCGGAACTGAAACGGCCAATGGTTAAAATGGTCATTTTTCCGGTCCCGGGTCGAAATTCCATTTTTCGCCCGTACCGACCCCAAATGTGTGTGGCCAACATAATATGGCATCGGAATCGTGAAAATAGCTTCTTAAGCCCTCGAAAATCGACTGCAAAGTCCTGGGAATAAAATAATATTATTTTTCACTTCCGAGCCAAAATTCCAAATTTTGACCGAAATCACTCTAAATGTCCGTGGCCACCCCAAAATGGCATCGGCCTCGAAAAATAACCTCAAACAGCCTCAAAATCCAACATCGGTGTCCACAGGGGCAAAATCATAATTTTCCCGGTCCCGAACCGAAATCCATTTTTTTGCAGAAATGGTTGGCCCCAAGGTTGGCCAAGCCAAAAACGTCATCGGCCGCTCAAAATTGTCACTTTCAAAATTCTCGATTCCCGGGCCCGAATTCCAAGAAATGACTGAATTGAACAATCACGACTTTAGCTTATCTCTGGCTAACGGGTGGCTCATTGGGATTACGCGCTCTCGACCCGTGACCTACACCAAGTCAAATCACGTTTAAGCTTACTCTACCTGGAACGACCTTGATTGTCATATAATTGCGAGGGTCTGTCACTAGTGCCCTTCGGACACGATCAATCAAATAGACCGGTCTCGGTTGGCTCAAAATATTCCCTCGTCAATCGATATGGTCGAAGCTCGAACCAAGGTCGAGTTCTTTGGTCGTGCGAACTCAATCCCGTACTGGCCTTACCCCTAAGGTTAGCATCCCGTGAATGCGCATTTCCGGGTGAGATCTCACTATAGTGCATTGATCAATATTCATTTCTTAAATCCTAGGAAAAGGATCGAAAATTCAGACTGTTACATAGACTAGAGGGGTCGCTGGCTAAAATTGCGCAAGTAGCGGAGGTGTCTCGACGATTAAGCCCTCTGTTTTGGTTGTATTCAGATTATTGTCTATAAGGAACCTGAATGGCGACGGGTACTTCCCTTTGATTAGTTTCTTTTCCTCTCTTCATGAACAGGGATTCTACAATCGCTCAGCCCGGTTATTATAGTCTACTTTAGCATTGAAGCAGATGGGTTTCTTTTAGTTTTTAGAGATTTTTGGATATGGTAGATGTCTACAGAGGATTTACTTTTTCCAGGGAAATGTGCAGGGCAATCTATGACTTCAATTGGGTCTGAATGCAATGGAACAATGAAACATTCTATAACTAAAACTGCCCTAAAACCTATTGGGAATACTTAGTTTGGGTTTGGTTTTTCTGACACCCTTGGCTGCTGGCGCTAACATACAAATTGTAGTAATTTCTGCGAGACGTCGAGCAGATCTTACTAGGCATTGAGCAATCCAGATCAGAGCAGCTTCATTACCTCCTGGCCGGTGGCCAAGTCATGATCAATCAAACAGAACTAACTTAGAGAATTTGTAATGGTGGTTCCCACTATCGGGATCATTATAATCATCGTCAATAAACTAAGATCTACTTTGCCTAAAGCCGCTCAATCGGGTGATTAGCATTAAAATTAAGGATGGGAGGAGTGAAAGATAAGAAGATTTCAAATAAGTACGAGGATTCAATTCACAAGTCGACTATATTAGCTGGTTGAATATCTTTAAATAAGACTGCTGAGTGTTGACTAAGACAGTGTTTTGTTCAATGTCCTAACCAATTTCCATCCTCCTTTAATGCACGATTCTTTCATATTGATCCTGACTCAATTTTCCGCTCCAAGGGAACTCAAAGGTCGAAGACTACCGACGGCTAGAGTGAATTCAAGCATACAAAGCGATCAGAGAAACCCGAGTCACGGTTCAATTCGACTCTTGATTCCGTGTTCGACTCGGGCTCCAACTCATCATCGAGCTTACATGATGATGATAACGTATTTGATCGCATGTTGGGATCAAAGAGCTCTTCTATTTTGAGTGGAAGTGATCATTTTCATTACATTTAGCTGGATTTTGGGTAAAGGAGCGGTGGCTACCAAGGAAGTAATAACACCTAAAGAGGCTAGAGCAATGCCTAATTGAAAATGAATCGAATTATTGATTGTGTCATAAAGACCTTTATGTCCACGCCCCAATCGCACCCCCCCCCCCCCCCCCGGAGGAATATGTGCTTCTCAAAGATCTTTTATACTGTGCCCAATCCCGAAATTAGTTCTATACATATGACCAGCAACGAGAAAAAGAAATGCAATAGCTAAATGATAATGAGCAATATCAGTCAACCAAAAACTTTGCGTTTGTGGATGGAATCCCCCTAGAAGGGTTAGAATGGCAGTTCCTGATCCTTTGGTAGTGTCGAGGTGAATGGCAATCAGCCTTAGCAGCATTTTGTTGAATTGATACCTGGATCCGATCTAATATCTTCTTCGATAAACAGGTAGTTTTTTGTTTTCAGTCGACTTTTATGCTCAATTCACCTTATAATGTTTTGATTGATCATATGGTCGAAGTTATACGTCAACTTGGTGAACACGTTGTAATTTTGGGAGACTTTCATGTCAGCCATACACTAAGGCTGCGCATGACAACGATTCTGTGCCCGGGAACAGATTCTGCTCAAAAATGATTCTTTTTTATTCTGTGCCCGGAATTGATTTCGAGCATTTTAAGGCGTTTGTTAACAGCCCAAAATTCCATCCTTGGAATAGAAAAAGAACAAAAATGCGTTTGGTAATGCCACAAAATTTCTTTTTATTAATAATATTTTTAAATATTTTAATATTTCTTTCTTTTTTTTCTTTTTTTTTCTTTTCCTCCTTGGCCATAGCCTGCTCGCCGGCCATGACCGGTAAAATATTTTTTTATTAATAATATTTTTATTAAAATTATTTTTTTTTTTGCCATGGTCTGGTCGCCGGCCATGACAGGTAAAATATTTTTTTATTAATAATATTTTTTATTAAAATATTTTTATTAAAAATATATATTTTATTTTTTTTGGCCATGGCCTGGTTGCCGGCCATGGCCGGTAAAATATTTTTTTTATTAATAATTTTTTTTATTAAAATATTTTTATTAAAAATATACATTTTTATTTTTTTGGGCCATGGCCTGGTCGCCGGCCATGGCCGGTAAAATATTTTTTTTATTAATAATATTTATTATTAAAATATTTTTATTAAAAATATATTTTTTAATTTTTTTTTGCCATGGCCTGATCGCCGGTCATGCCTGGTAAAATATTTTTTTTATTAAAATATTTTTATTAAAAATATATTTTTTCTTTTTTTTTGCCATGGCCTGATCGTCGGTCATGGCCTGTAAAATATTTTTTTTATTAATAATTTTTTTATTAAAAATATACATCTTTATTTTTTTTGGCCATGGCCGGTAAAATATTTTTTTATTAATAATATTTTTTATTAAAAATATATATTTTTTCTTTTTTTGCCATAGCCTGGTCACCGGCCATGGCAGGTAATATATTTTTTTCTTTTTTATGGCCATGGCCGGTAAAATATTTTTTATTAATAATATTTTTTATTAAAATATTTTATTCTCGTCAGATCCAGCAAGGGCGGTCAGGCTGGACATTAGAAGCTAAATTAAAAATCAAGAAAAGAAAGAAGAAAAAAAAATTGATTCTCAAAATTGTTCCCAGAATCAAGAAGCTACTTTTTTTTTTATTCTTGATTCTGCTCCAAAATTAATTATGGGAACAATTTTTGATAAAATTGTGCCCAGAATCAAAAAATTAAACAAACGCATTTCTGTTCCCAAACTGATTCTGGGAACAAAAGAACAGAATCAAACACTGTTTGGCAAGTTGTCATGCGCAGCCTAACTGTGACTTTCATGTCGAACGATTCCATCGAGCAGCCAGCCTCCTGTTCACACTAATTTTTAATCTAGGTGAACCGCGAGTAATTCATATGCTTTAGGTTTAGTTATCCATGATTGTGTCTGTAACTGGACTCTCTAGAACAAAGGTGAGTTTCTCTGTCCTGGACATCAGGTATGTTGGACATCATTACTTTCCCTGATTCAAATTACTAGTCACTTATAAAAATATTGGGACAATGCCACATGAAGTCCTGCAATCAAGTTCTACAATCTAAAATTTTCAAATCGTGCAATTAAACCCTAAATCTTGCACAGAAAATGCAATGGAGGGCTACTTCTGCTTGACTAGACTCTATGAACTGAAATTTCTGCTAGCGACTTTCCAATACTGAGTAATGGTCTAACCATCTCTCTATCGCTTCTCTTACAGTAATCTGATAACTGAACAGTTAATCTAGTACAATCCTCAAATTGTAAATTCGTATCAACATTCCTCACTGTCATTCACTCTTCCAGAGAGAATGAGTAAGCAGAACAAAAATTGACTGAAAAATAACCAGACAGATGACTTTCTGTTGCATAGTGATTCAGGTCATCTTCGAGCAATCCTGGAATTCCGGTTCCTACTTCTCAGTAACAAAACCAACCAAGTTGCTAGTTCCATTTGCCCAATTTGCGAACTCTGCAAAAGGAAAGGGAGAGTGCTTGTTGTGCAATCATAAGAAAAAATTTTAAAGAAAAGAAACCCAGCATTTATAGCTGAACATGGAAAGGACGACAGGTCTGCACAGAAATCTAGCATCAGTTACGAGCATTAATTTGTCACTACATGATAGTGGCGAAAAAAGGAAAAAAGAAGCTTCTTCTGAACATCAGAATTATCACCAACTATTAGTCCCACCATACACTGGTTAAAAGAGGGTGAAATGTGATGTTTCCATAATACAAGTTTGGGCAATATACGAGCATTTATGAGTAGGCTACCCAAAGCTGATCAAGAAAGCGTGAAATCCACCTATGTGCTTGACAAGGTGGACCCAATGACTACAGTTAATTTCAGATGTGTGAGTGGAATAAGGAATTCGGGACAAGCTCACATGCTCTTACAAAACTTTTATTGTCCAATCATCTGCAATTCGGATGCCAGGTTTCCGTATGGTCAAAACACCAGAGCTGCTTCTTCCTTGAAGCAGAAGGGGCCCGAATTCAATCTGGGCCTTTAGATTTCCTGGCTCGATGAGAGCATTCTTTGGCCCACCAGCATGTCCAAGAAGTATGATCCGCCCGATTATGCACTCTGATTTAAATGGAAGATTACCAGAGGTAGCAGGTGCCATGTTAAGTGATGTAAGTTTGCCCTCAGTGAAAACAAATCGCCGGTGAATGTATGCCCCATGCTTGAATTCAAAGCTTTTCCCATCATCAATATAGAGTTCGCCTTCGGCTGCTTGGGAACTATTCAGAGCTATTACCTGAAATGAGATAGGAATGCTGTAAGCAACACTCACATGTCATCAGTAACAGCATTCACAGGACAGCAAAAATGGGCCTTCATAATGTCTGCATTAGGAAAATAATCACATGCACAAGCAACACTGAAAGAAGTGTAAAAGCATCAAAGGAAAAATCTTACAAATCTGGACATATTATAGGTGGATGATGTAAATAAATAACAGTTATCCACAGAGGAACAGTACTGAGAAAGAACATGAAGACAGCAATTACACCATCTCAGAGGTTATTGCAAAATTAAAAAGTGCCGTTTCCAGGAAGCATTTTATTAGATGGTCTTTTCTCTTTAAATGCTAATAATCATAATAACAATAAGCCAGTAGTATGATTCCCACATAATCATTGGTTATTCTAGAGGTTACTTCATATTGCATTGTGCAATAATCAGATAAGTGCATCAAGAATTCTTCGACTCCAATATCATATCAGAACCGCATAATAGGAATAAATTGATCATTCATATGTTACATGATTCCCAGTTACATGCTGAAGCCAAGACTGAATGTTACAGTAAAGCCAAGAGGCTTTCAGAAAAAATAAGCAAGGGAGCATTTATAAATTGCTGTGTATTTAGTAAGCTTGGAGCATAACAACTTGAGCCTCGAAATGACAAGATATTGTCAATACATACCAGAGTGTAAGGATCATTCACCATCTGTGTGGTGCTACGACGAAACCGATCTCTTCGTGGTATGATGGTTCCAGCCCTCTGGAAAGCCGGAACATGGTCTTCTGAAGCTTCCAGCTTGTGAGTTTTACTGCCCAGGTATGCTGTCCCAGTTCTTAGGTCATACCAAGACTCTTTCCCCGGCAAATATACTGATACATGTTTGGCACGCTGGTCCAGAAGAGTAAAGTATGCTTGATATTGCTACTAAAAGACAATAAAAGAACAACAAACTGAGGTTCCAAAGAGGACAAAAAAGCAATGATAAAGCACCTCGGTGAAGATGCCTTGGACCAACAGACTATTTCCCACCATGAATGCCTCGTCTTTGTCAAAAGTAGCTTCATCAAAAGGGAACTCCATCCACAGAGGGCGTAGCACTGGAACACCAGTGACGTTCGCTTCTCTGAACAATGTGTAAAAGAATGGGAGCAGCATGTAGCGTGTGCGTATGGCATCTCTCACCAGTTCAGTATTGCGCTCTCTGTAACAACATAAAGAACAATGGCAGACCGAAATCAGCATCAGAAGGCGCCGACGGGGTTGACAGTATAGTATTGTCTCAATGGTCACCCATGATGAGGGACTACCACAATGGACGTGCTACTTTAAATCATTGTATCGAGTTACAGATCCACTTGTCCTCCTATTAATTAGGGAAAGCGTAACATTTTCCCACAGAAGAACACTATGATCCATTCACAACTTGGATATTAAAGGATAACCTACCCAAACGACCAAGGTTCCCGTCTTTTCGTGTCCTGATGGGCATGCCCCCTGAAGAAAGGATAGTACGCAGCAAGTTGATACCAGCGGACAAATAACTCAGGTTCAGGGTTGCCAAAATAACCACTAACATCCGCACCTACAGACGATGCAAAGTTACATTGCAAAGAAAAATTTTAAAAAGAAAAAAGAATCTCACATCAACTATTAATTCTAATCAATCAAAACTAACCAGTGAATGAAATTCCAGTGAGACCGAGAGCCAAAACCATGGGAACTGAAACCCTGAGCTGATCCCAATCTGCTGTATTATCTCCAGTCCAGATTGCTCCATACCTTTGACTTCCGGCAAAAAAAGCTCTGGCAAGAACAAAAGGCCTGTCATTTCCATTTCCTCGCTTTAAGAGCCCATCAGATGTTGCCATGTGGAAATAAAGACCATTGGCATTATGCAGTTCTCGATGTTCCACACCTCCATAGTGTAAAGCATCTCTTGGCATCGTCAGCTGATGACAAAAAAAAATTCAATCCACCATGATTCTGTTATTTAAACAAACCCAGGTCGATAAATTAGCTATAAGCTATTACTTATACGACGAATAACTTATCCACTCTCAATTCATTTTTTCCTTCCACGATATATCAGAGCGGGAGAACAAATTCTCCTCAACCAAAAACAACTGGCGGATTCTTCTTACAAATTGCCAAGAACAAGATTTTTTGGACAGTAGAACTTCTCGTTCTGTTTAACATCGTAACCTTCTGTATATACTGATTACACACAAAAAGTCTTGAAGAAGCCAAGATGAAGTTATGTAGCTTGACATGAGTCTACCTTAGACAAATATTTCAGCCTTCCATTTTAAAACTATAAAAGCTTATTCAATCTTTCTTTTCTGTCAATCTATCTTGCATCACAAGTAAGTACAATAATTGTTCCCAGTCCAATGGTCAAGTCACTAGATTCCAAGACAGATGGTGTACAACAGATTTAGAACTAGCAAGTCATGCTTTGCACAAGCCTAACTGAGAAATTTAACGTGTAATTAAGTTACCGTGGGATGGTTCTAGCACATAAGTTTCCTGAATAAAATTTAAACACCCCCTTCCCCCAAATTGAAAAGGGAAAAGTCGGTAACTCCTCAAGCTGCCACTGAATATAAACCAGAATGCATAAGCATTAGTCAGAAAAATTAAAATTAAATTTTCTTGAATGGAATCGATAATGCAGCATAAAACCCCAATGTTGACGTTTCTCCAAGACACAGATAAAATGACAAAAGACCTGCTTACTTAACCTTGTTAAGGATATCAAGTTCTTTAAGTATTTACTTTTCTGGTGAAGCTAAGACACTTCGCATAAAATTTGCAAAAGAAATGCAGAGATATGACTAATGACTTCCACAAGCATTAAAAAATTACTATCATAAGTCTCATCCAAACGGTCAAGGGTTAAAAGCTCTTCATGGTCTGCAATAGCTCTAGTTCTTCGCACTAGCACCAACATAAGGTCCTATGAGCATTCCCCACAGAGTGATGTGACCCAGGTACAGTTTAAGATATGATATTTGTAAGAGAAGTGAAGGTGTATCATGAATGGTAACCAATAAAACCTAATCTCAGCATGCATGTGGACTTTAAGAGCCAAAGAAAAGAACATAAAGAACATACATACCTCAGGACCGTTAAAAACAGAAGGCTCATTCATGTCATTCCATATGTACAGCGAAGGTGTTGAGCCGACATAGTTTTCAAATGAGAACCTGTCGGCCCACCATGATCTGATTTCCGGATTTAGCATATCAAGGTATGATGATGAACCGGGCCAACACCAACCATCAAAATCGTTTCCGGAGGCATCCTTGATATAATAGCCATTCTTGGAGGCCTCCTTGTGTATGAAGTATGACCCGTCACGCTTGATATGAGGATCCACAATTGTCACCAGGTGCCTACCCTTTGCAGCTAGCTTCCGTTGCATCTCCTCGGGATGAGGGAAAGACACCTTATCCCAGGTGAAGTACCTCCTGCCGTCTGTGTGGTCAATATCGAGCCAAAGAACATCACAAGGGATGTCATGCTCATCGAATTTGGAATGCACGTTCTCAACATCCTCCTCATCCCTGTAGTTCCATCTAGACTGGTGATAAGCTGTGGCAAACAGCTGAGGCATTGCAGGCATACCCGTCACACTAACATATCGCTTCACGACATCCTTAGGCCCTGGACCAATGAAAAAGAAAGCATCCACGATCCCAGCCTCGCTCATCCAAAAAGTATCCACCCGCTTCTGCGACGAAGGCAGCGCAATCCCGGAATCAGCATCCCACCCCTCACCGAGAACATCAATCTGCATCTCGGCCGCATTCAACCAAAAGAACCCGGAAGACCCTCTCGCCTTCCCATGGGAAATCATGAAGGGAATCGACCCATAAAGCCCAAAGGGAGATTCATGCACGAACTCAAACACATCCAAATTAAACAACCTATACGGCTCCGAGTGCTCGATCCCGGGTCCTCTGGTCGGTTTCAAGGCCAGACTAGTGGCGTGCTCGGGAATACCGTAAACAAAGTCAGCCCCATAGAACGAAACATCGAAGCTAATGGATTGAGGACCATAAGGCCTAGTATCCGTATGGGACCTGAACCTCTCTTCCCACTCCTCCCCTTCTTTCTTCGCCCTCAACTGCTCGAAGTCGAGCAAGCCATGGGAATTCAAAGACAACACGCGATCCCCACTCGATCTCTCGCGAACATAAACCTCGAAAGGGTCGTGACGGACCACCCCCTCGTGGTCATCCGACAGGAACACGATCGACGAGAGATGCTCGTCGCCGCCGACCTTCTCCGTGGAGAGCCTCTGCAGCCAGAGCTTCTCGGACTCGAACCCGGGGACGACCACATCGGGGACCTGGAACCGTTTCTTGGGGGATTCGAGAGATGGGTCCTCGTCAATCTTGACCCTCAACACGCCATCCCGGTAAACGGAGAGGGTCAGGGCGAGGGGCTTGACCGGCTCTTGATCCTCGCGATCTGGGTCCGGTTCTCTGGGGGCGAGCTTGGCGACGAGATCGCCGCCGGAGACGGAGACGTGGGTGGCGACGAGGGCGCAGGAACCGGGCTTCCGGCCGCGGGCGCGCTTGCAGAACGGGGTCTGGTTGCAGTTCCGGAACTCCTCCTTCTTCCAAGAGCGGACGGAGCCGGGGCTCCAAAGGAGGACGAGGAGGAGGGAGAGGAGGAAGAGGAGATGGGTCCTCATGAGGGGGTGGAGGAGGAGGAGGAGTGGAGATGGTGGGAACCCTAGAGGGACGAGTTGAACGGAGAGCTACGAGAGTTGAACAATGGCGTCGTGGGTCTGCGAGGTCAGTGTCTGCGAAGACTACACCAAAGCGACTCACTCAGTAAGAAGACGGGGGGGCCTGCGCGGAGAGAATACGATTCCCAAAACGCAGCGCCGTTTTAGGACCGATGAGTGCTTCCTAGAACGGTATGTCGTTGTGCTTCCCTCGAATTTGTATTAGTATTTTTCGGGTTTGAGATGAGGACGCAAATGGTCGCTGAACTTTTACCCAACGTGTGATATGGCTCCTAAGCTATTTTGTTCAATGTGATGCTTAATGCGCAATATAGTTCCTGGACTTTTAATTTGTTCAATATGGTCTTTAAATTTTTTTTATACATATTTAATGTAGTCCATGAACTATACGAAAATGTCTAATATTGTATTTTCATTAATTCAAGTTCATGGATAATATTGAATATTTTTATATAATTCAAGGATTATATTGAACATGTACCAAAATTTTAGGGACTATATTGAATAAATTAAAAGTTTTATGAACCACATTGTACATTAAGTCAAAATCAAGTAACCACATTAAACAAATTAAAAGTATATAAACCATATTGCATATTGAGTCAAAGATTAGAGACCATATTGAATAAATTAAAAGTTCAGGAATCATATTGTACATCGAGCTAAAATTTAGGGATTATTTGTGTCATTTTGTCTTTTGATTTTCTAGGGAGTACTTTCTACAAAAATACACTTTTCTTTGTATGCAGGGAACACACGTAACGATATATAGTTTTCAAGTTTTCTTGACCCAATTTCTTCCTAACTCTTTTTTTTTTTTCATCTCGGTTGAGATTCTTCACAATGTTCACATAATGTAATTTGTACTTTTACTCTTGTAGAAGTTTGGATAAAAATAAACGTGATTTAAATATTTTTTTTCACTAGTTTTCAACCGGTCTCTAATATTGAAAAGTAAAAGCACTATAGTTTTTCTACATCATTGAAATTGAAATGAGAATGATTTTTCACACCGAAATGTATTTTAATTCTGAAATCACACTAAAAAATGCCATTAAAATTTTCTCGAGATCTAACAAGTAGTCCCAATGGGTAGATGCATTCCCCATTTGGAACTATGGATATCATGTGAGCAAAAGCCTTATCTCGATTGAAAAGATAAGATGCACAAATGTTTTTTCACCCAATGAAAATTTATTCTTGAGACATATTGTCATATTCACTTATGGAAAAAGTACTGAGCTCCAGCTAAAATCGCTTGACCCTTTTCTGAGGGTCCGTTTGATTGAAGAAAAACTGTTTCCGAGAAATTTTTATCCGACTTTTTAGTATTTGAATTACGGAAAACTAATTGATTTACGAAAAGAGCTTTCCATGAACTAAAAACAAGCTTAGAATAAAGAAAGATGACTTCCCCTCTCGACAAAAAGGAAATCACTTTTCCTAAATCATCAAATAAATGAAAACTAACTATTTTTCTTGAAAATAATTTTCATGAAAAATATTTTCCTTTATCATTAACTTTCCGGTAAAACAAACACATCCTAAAATGTAAATCACAATCCCACACTGAAACAATGTTTGCACCGAATACTCTCTATCGTTCGGCATCAAGTGTCCTTCCAGCATACTAAATAGCAAATGTACGGTGTATAACGTAAAGAGAACAAGGATATGCCAGAAGATCATATCATCTAAATCTCAAAAAAATTGTGATTCCCGTTTCGTACTATGAGTAGAACGAGAATGTTGGCGAATATTTAAACTAGTCAGTCGCATTCTTGGCTTCACAGAGTTACATCTTATTCTCACACACAACGGTGAGAAAGCATGCGGAGGTTGGCATTTGCACATGAGAAAATTAGGCTACATGACCGAACGACCGATCGCTCGTCTCATGGTAGGTTTGGGACCATCGCCAGGAACATGAACAAGCATTACCAATTTCTTGCAAATTAAGAGAGAAAATCTTCTGATACAACTGAAAATTTGAGATCAGCTATCTTCACTGTCGATAAGAGATCTGAAACAAAACACTAACCAGAACCTGTCATCAACAAGAAGTGCATGAGTATGAGGCAAGAAAGCTACGTAGTTCGCGATGAACTAACGAGTGTCTAAAGACCTATACCTCAATGTATTAGCCAAATAATCTCCAGAACAAACATCTTTAAAACAATCATCCGAGCAAGCCATCTCACATTGAAAGATGGTAGAAGTTGTATTCCACATCCCAACCTATACATCAGCACCAGGATCTCCAACACATCCAAAAAACAAGAAAAAAAAAACTGATGGATAAATTCCTTATGGATTACAAAATTCACGTCCATCATGTACAGTGTCCATATCTTTCCTAGACCAGACATCTCCTCAACTTCTATATCGACCTGAATTCTTGTAGACAGACCAAGCCAAATGATGTGAAGCAAGCTTTCTTCATGAGAAACCACTGGTCAAAGGGGCCAATAAAGAGGAATAGAAAGCATTAACGCAAACAATGACTACTTGCAGTTTTGCACCTTACCGCAGAGAGATTCTACCATTTACAATAAGACGGGCATAAGGGCAAAAGAACACTACAAGTTTAAGGCCTTTCTTTGGCATTGCTTCTTTAGCCAGACTGGTCTTTCAAGACAGCCACCTAACACCCTATATTCTGTGTCAGCCAAGCTCCTTTGTCATCTTTCTCCCATCAGTGATTCAAGCAGGGCAGCTTCTTCCTCCTGAGAGAGAGAGAGAGAGAGAGAGAGAGAGAGAGCAGCCGTGTTATTATTTTCTTTACTAGCGTACATCCGGTATCAGCAAAAGATGACCCTTACCACTAAGGCATTGAACTCAGTCTCTTCATCTATGGCACTTATTATGCAAGGGTCCTCCAACAGATCCTAATAATTCAAAAAACAAATAATTGTTTCAAAAATATTCCACATATTTGCATATTAATGTGGATTCAGTATTATGAAGTATATGCGTCGTAGACCCATCACAGAACTTGTCCATCACTTAGGATTTTCATGTTGGAAATTAGAATCATAAATAATTGAATCGAATGATCTCTAGATTGATCAGAAGATCCTTTCAATTGGCTTTTGCCTTTCACATGAGCCGTTAGATCATGTAGGACCATGGCTCTCTAGAAGCACACTAGCATTCATACTGAGTTTCCACCCACAGAGTAGAAAATAGATTGCTCGATAACAGACTTAATTACCATATACTATAGTTGTTGTCAGGATGGCATGAGAGAATAAGTCGCAACGCTAAATGCATTCTAGGTCCTTAAATTCTCCAGTACGGGATTAACTCACAGTCATCAGTGCATAAACATAATCAAGAATCCACTCGCACATATTCCAGCATATACACGACATCATGCTACACTATGATTTTCAACTCAATAACCCAGTAAGTATGTCAATTGTGAAGTATCACCTAAAAAACTATAACACCTCCAAGATCCTGGTTAGTATCTAATTTCCAAAGAATTGCAAAGCACAGCTTATTATGCCAGAGCACAACTATGTTTCCTTTAAACAGTTTTATAAATTAAAACATGTTACATAATAGAAAATCAAACAATTCTATTTGATATTGAAAGAGAAGTTTGTTCTGTGCTCAATCAGAAACAGGTACAAAACAGCATGTGGAAAAACATGAGAAATCTGTCCACAACAAACATCAAGCTATCAGTTGGTCATCAAATCTTATTCCCAGTCTATGGTAATTCAATGATGTCCAAAAGCAGAAAATGAGTAAAGCAACTCAAAACAGAAAGCACCAATCAACTGGCGATCTATCGACTTCAACTCAGTTGTGCACTCACAAACTTCTTGTATTTCAAGATAATATTACTTTTTATGGGGTAATTTAAACTGCTACAAAATAGCATAGAAGCCATCACTGCAATCTATAGGCAATGCATCCCTCAAAACACAAAAAATTAGTGACAAAAAAAATTCTATTCAAAATCAAAATTGCAATCAGGAAAAGAACTGCTTACATCATCAGCAATCTGCAACTGCCCATTGTGATCCTGCAGGACAAAATCCAGCTTGAGAGTTCATGGTTAACTCTAGCAATCACAATTTTTTCTACTCAGCTAATGGGCATCTAACAACATTCAACATAACAGGCAATGTTCTTTCTTCTACCATTTTTGTGTATTGAAAAGCATGAGTAGAGGAATAAATCAATCACTTGATTTGGGTGAGAGCACAATTTTTTTCATTATGGCCTCAGTAGCAGGAACTTACCTTCACAGCAACAAAAAGAAGTGGATCAGAGGGTGTATAAATCATGTAATGTGCACCATCCTACAACCACAAAGCAACAGAAAGAGAGCATAATAGAATTAAAATCAATAGTTTCATCTAAAATGCCTAGTACCTTATCAATACAGAAGCTATCATGTTTGGAAACCGTTATCTAACGCTATTGATTAGTGCTGCAGGATCATACTGTCCAACACAACAGGTAAAATAGGACGAATGGAAACAAAGTGAAAGGAAAGAGAAAATCATTTCTATTGGGGAAATGATCATTGCATTACCATATGAAAGCATGTAATTTCCACTCCTTCAGTGGGTAAGCCATCAACATCTTGACCATCATCTGCAAGATAATAAGCATCTTGCTTCAATTGTCGTTCTGACAAATCCTCAGGTTTTGTTAATTGATGTTTGTAAATACATCACAAAAAGCAACTGACAAAAACATGGTATTTGCGGTTCCTTGCACATGGAAAGGGGAAGAGGAGAAGTACTTATAACAATTTCAAAGGTAACAATGACTCAAATAATCTGAACAGAAAATGAGAATGCAAGCTTTTAGAAAATTGATTATCAAACAAGCAAATATTTCCGTTATAATTATTAAAATTCTAGTGGCACTTTCTAACATCAGGAAGCTGAAAGATGTATATATAGCATCAGTCATAATTCTGAAGCAAGATTTCATCATTTTATAGATCAAATTAAACCAACCAACATTCTAAATCTGAACTAAGTGCGCCGATTATCAGTGACTTCTTTCTAGATTTGGAAAAACAATTGAAGAATTTATGAAAGGTATTTTGATAGCAGAGTTTC